ATGAGCTACACACAGAACAAAAGCCAATGCAAGCTTCTTTTTCAATGCAATGCACAGAGGATTTACTGGTTATTCAATTTTATTTTAAATACATTTTTTTATTCCTCAAATGCATTTAGCAAAACATGTTAGAGTTGCACAGAAACAAATACATCCACATAAATTCACTACTTTCTTGTAAAGAATAAAACATGCCAGTAATCAAAGATTATGATAGAAATATTTCTATTTATCATGTTGTGATATGTTTAGTCTTTGTGCTCTGTGTTGTTCTGGCAGCAGGTGTAAATCCTTCATGGCAGATTTGTCTGGTCTTCATGTTTACAACTGATTGATATTTGAAATGGACCTCTGATTTATAACATTTAGAGTTCATAACAGATGAAGAAAATAATGTTCAGATCAATCAATGATAATAAATGTTAGAATTAGTTTATTGAAAAGAAAAATAATTAAATAAATGTTAAATAAAAGATGAGCTTTAAAGGGCAGTGAACTATAAACGGACACTACCATCTGTAGTTATTTATTATTCATCTTTTTGAGAACTTGGTGATACCTGCACTCATTCTGTTATCTTTAAAACCTGGAGAATGAAAAACCTTTAACTTCAAACTTTGTTGTTTCATTGATTAGTTCGTCCTTGTGTGAATCAGTCCTTTAGCGTGCTGAGTCTTTTACACTTGGGGGTTTTTTCTGTGTTTTTATGAATTTGAGAGTATTGTCTTTTCCATGTACAGTGTATTGGTCTGCCTTCTTCCCTTCTTCTGTTTTTAATCTTTTAAGGAATGATGTTGAGGTTGGATTAAAAGCAAAACAAAGGAAATACTTATCTCTCTCCTTTTTTCATGTTTGCAGCCTGAGAATTCACTACCAGAAAGCTGCCTGTACGACCTTTCTGCTGTTGTAGTTCATCATGGATCTGGGTGAGTGGATGAAGTATCCCAGTAAAAAACATGTTGTAGTTGAAATGAGTAAAAGTTCTATTTTATCTGCCTTTCTAATGATCACATATATTGTTCAAGTTTTGCAGTATACATCCTTACTTCCCTCAATCTTAAAGATGTGCTTTTCTTTCACCGGCGGAGCATATTTACTTATATTTAGTTATACTGCCGGATAACTAAAACAATCAAGACTGGAACATAAATCCAGGCATAACCCATTTGCCAACCAGCTCTGCCTACCGCAGACGGCTGTCAATCCGCCTGTCAAAACTAATGTGATCCAATTTGTTGCAAAGCACAGTCGACAGCTGCTTTTTAAAAATTCATGTAGCCACTAAATGCTGAAAGGCATTAGGCCGGGAGTCTCAGAAAACACATTAGCTTTGGTGAGAACTATCTATGAAAGACCTGCTGTTTCACCCTTGGCCTCTGAGTGGCGATGTAGCACTGCTGATATTTGGCCATGTTGCATATGTCCCTCAACTTCAGCAGCAGTTCAGTAAGAAGTGTTTTAACAAACCAGACAGCACAAGGTTAGATATGTGTCTGTGTCCACAGGGTCGGTTCGGGGCATTATACAGCTTACGGCAGCCACGAGGGACGCTGGTACCACTTCAATGACAGCACAGTGACTCTGACCAATGAGGATGCAGTGAGAAAGGCTAAGGCCTACATCCTCTTCTACGTGGAGAGGACTAACCAGGTGGCCTCGGACAAGACCGCCACCAACAGCATGGCCACAGGCAGGTCTGGCGCTCACAGTGTTTCCTCAGTAGTGTGTCAGGAAGAGGTTGCAGCAGAGCCAGCTCCCACAGAAATGGATTTAATGGATGTTGCAGCTTCACGTGTAGATACTCTGGATGTACCAGCTCCTGATAATGCTGTGTTGGTAAATGCGGGTGAAGACAATGAACTGCATAAAGCTGACGCAGCTTTAATGGAGGCCGCAGCAAACAGTGATACCTCAGACAAGGCTGCAACAGAGGAAACCAGCCAAGCAGCACAAGCGGTTGCACAATGATTCAGCCAGACTGCCTCAGACCAGCTCCTCAGCCCATTTCGGCTCGACCTCAGTCCCATTTCCAGTGTTTGATTTAGATAGTTATTTTCACGTGATATTTCTTTCCTTGATGTTGTATCCCTAAGTCGAGGTAGACTTCTCTATGTTTTATGGATTCCAACGACAGTAGTTTAAAACAATGAAGTAAAGCTGTAGCCTTGGAAAACCTTGGTTGGTCCAATGTTTAGCCTAGAATGATGAGATGGATAATGTCAAGACACTGTGTCACTGTAACAATAGATGCTATTTTAAAATTTGTATTTTGTCAAGAACCTCATAATTCATATTTTCCAGTTCTTAAGGAAGATTTTAGGATATAGAATGCGATTCATTGATTGACTGACACACGTGCTCGTTAGGGCTTTAGAAAGTTATTTTAACGTCTTTATCAGAAACCAATGTGAAAAAAAAATCATTCTCAATGTTTTTTTGTGTCTGTGTTGATGCTGGAGTAATGTTTGATTTTGATTTAAATGGACTTTTAAAAAAAAAAAAAAACAAAGAAATACAGAATCTTTTTTTTCCAAATGTTTGACATCTTTTCTTTTTTCCATCTCAGAAAGAAAACTCACATTTCCCCAATTATATGAACATTCGTTTGTAGCGAGTTAAATCCAGGAAGGAATACAAACTTGTTTCTACTGTTAGTCTTTATAGAAGTGAAAATCTTTGGTTCCCCTGGGTGCTACTGTTTGATTCTACTGACATTTGATTGCAGAGGCTTCAATCATTTTAGTAGAAAGTCAGGAAATAGTCATGAGGTGGTTCTTGTTTTAGAAACACATACCGTATCTCCTTCCCTTTACAATCTACAGTGTATTTGTGACTCAGCTTTGAATTTGGATTGTGGGATTTAAATTAATCAAGCCAATTTAATAACCATTATACTGTTCGCCTAGTATTCACAGAAGAGGATATTCCAAAACAGTATTAGGAGAAAAATGAATGGAAGAAGAGATAATCACACAATGAGGTCCTTTTTAAACGACTAAAACAAGCAACAAGTGACAAGCAAAAATGGCAAGTATTGAACCGTTCATTCTTTTCAAATGTGATTAACTGTTTGTCTACTTGCTCAATGTCTCGGGTGTATTCAGGTTTAAAACTAATTTGGACAAAGCAACGTGACTTAAAGACTTCCCCTTTATCTGCAGGCAATTGTGATGTTACATGGTATATATAGTTAACCGATTAGTTAAGACGATTAGCCAATTCATTGATCGTAAAAATGATCATTAGCCAGGGATCTAAATGAAAGACAAAACTGTTATTGCTCATCTGTTCCTCCAGTACTGTGGCTGAGTTGTGTTTATTGCTTTATGTCCCTTGGAGGAACTTGAATCACACATTTTATGTTCAAACTATTTAGACCATACGTGCACAGTTTGATATTCACATTAGGAATCTTTCCTTTACATGTTTGAGTTTGGAACGAACAGACAGTACTGCTGTGTTTATCTTCTCAATATATCCATCTCAGCATCTTCAGCACCCTTATTATAACTCCTGATAGAAAACAGCCTTTGAGCACAACATTGCAGCAGAGGCCAACTTTTTAGCCATTTGTGTGTGTGTGTTTTTTTTTTTTTTTTTTCCTTTTTCTAAACATCTCCGCCCCCACAAAGACACACTTGCACATAAGAGCCCTAACCCCCCTCGGGACACGTGCCAGCCAGTCAGCCTCCTCGCTGAGGCAGGAACAAGCACTCCTGTATGATGATGAACAGCTGCTCTCCCTCGCCCGCTCACAGGTGGCCATGGGCTCGCTACTCTATCCCTATTAATGACACAAGTGGCCTTTTTTTTTTTTTTTCTTCCTGTCTTGGAGGCTCGATCACAGATGCTAATAATAAGCTCACATTGCATCGTGTTTGTCAGCTCAGAGGTCTTGTAAAGAACATTATTGACGCAGTGAGTCACAGTACATTCTGTAATCAGCCTCCTGACAATGGCATTTCCCAACATGGCAACAACTGACATTTTCTAGAGGTCGCTGAGAACATGTGGGAAAGAAAATAACCGGTAATGCAGGCTGGAGTGATGACATAGATATAATGTTCTTTTTTTTCCTTTTGGCCATTTCAGGATGTCCTCTGCACTCCAATTGAGCAATTTCAAACACACAGCCTGAGTCATAGTTCACAATGTTCTTTATGGCGCACTCCTTAGTAGAGCTGTTTGTGCTTGTGGCTCTCACTCACAGGAAGGGTTGCCAGGTGGAGGTTGTGAGATAATTAGGCTCTGTAATTATATTAAAAGTAACACGTGAATGTTCCACGGCCCTAAAAGTGTGTCATTAAAGAAGTATTGTTAAGTTAAGTTACACTACAGACAGCTTACACTTGAAATTGTTCTTCATAAACTAGGTCATTCGTTGTTTATACTGTGCTGAAAGCCTAATTAAAGTAAGTCTGTTAGACTTCATTATATGTCAAATTTAATTTGATCAGAATGTTTTGCTCCTCCAAAATTTAACCCAAAAATAGCTGCTTTTTATTTATTGGGCATTTTTTGTTATCACTCATGCAACTGAAATGACAAAAACAACACCACTCCTTGTTTTAAGACGTAATAATGTGCGCCTCATGCTGCTTTTCCACATAAAAGTTTAATGATCTGGCTAAAGATCTTTAAAGCTACATTCACTCCCTTTCTCATATCTAAAAAAATAATGAATGGGAAGACAGCCTTATGTCCAACTGCAGTACATTATTCTACAAAGTGAAGGAGGACAAACGCCCAACTGAGAGAATAAAATTCCAAAAGCGTTTTTTTTTTTTGAGTCTCCACAACGAGTGAACGTTTTAACTTGTGTAGTTTGTACATCGGTGCTGCTGTATTGCAGATTTTTTTTTTTGGTTTTTATCTGTATCTGAGAAGTAGGCCATGCTAGTGTAAACATCTGGCCGAGTCCGGTGCTCGCTGCCTGTTGAGATCCACGACAGATGGAAAGGGAGCGTATGGCTCAAACACTTCCATCTTTGACTCTACCGGCAGTTGTCTTCCCAAAATAGCCCACACTCCACGGCCTTATATGTGCAGGCCTGCAGCATGTGCCTGAGGAGGCATCATGTATCTAGGCCACACAATACGGTCCACAGGCTCATTGTTGCTGCTCACCAGCAGGCCTATCACCCCCCTCAGGGACCAGGCCTGTCTTTCTGTTTAGTGTCGGCTCAACATGCATCTCACCGGGCTTAACCACGAATGTCTCCTCCACCTTTTTTCCTTCCTGGACAAAGACAGCCGAAGGAGTTTGTCCTTTACTTGTCATCAGCTACGTGAAGTCTTCATGGACCCCCGCCTCTGGAATCTACTTCTCTTCAGCTCCCCGTGTGAGCTGAGGAGGGACAACTTTGTGCTGGGGCCCTCGCTGCGCTACCTTACTGTTTGTTGGTACTCCAGCAGAGTCCTGCAGGTGTGCAACATAGAGGACTGGCTAAAGAGCTCGTTTCAGAGGGACATATGCAGCAAACACGAACGCCTGGTCAGCACTTTCCTGGCACAGGTCCGCCACATGTGAGTGTTTGTGCGTGGTTCTCACCTGCTTTGTTTTCTATTTTGTAGTGACACCTTGAATTGGCATGTAATGAAACAGAACACAAAAACATGCGTACTTTGCAGTTCACTTAAATCTGAAGCGGTGTGTGGCTTGACTTGAAGTTATGATTGAATAAATATGTGAGATTAACTCATTTTAACTATTTCTCATATGATAGAGAAATGTACCTGTGATTTGTTACACTACCTCTATCTCAAAGATCAGACCTGCAGTTGAAATGCAACACAGAAGTGTAACTGTTCTTTAAGTCAAAAAAAAAAAAAAAAAGATTGCGCTCTTCTCGTTCCCTCGCTTTTATCTTGTGCTTCATCGCGGGGGTCATGACCCCTTTGTTGACAACAGTACAAACCACAACCTCAAATGTGACTGTAGAGCTAAAACCACTCTCACACATCCTGAGTTATCGTGAGCAGCTTCATTTCAGATTGTAAGACTGCAATTTAAGGTCATTTTGTCCATCCTTGAAGCTGCTTTTCACAAGATGATGCTAAAACATTGTACTAGAGCCAGTCAGTTCCTCGTCAAACAAAAGAAAAATATGTAAAATATGTTAGTCGTCTGATGTTGCCTTGAGGATGATCACGTGATTTTGCCTTCTTCTTTTTTTTTCATTTTTTTTTCAGGGTCAGTATTCACACCCACCACAAGGAAGTGAGTTGTTTTCATTCGGAGGCACATGGCTTACTGAGGCTGCCATGTTTAGCTGAAGGCAACAGCAGGGAAAGAAAATCATGAGAAACAGATGGGAGTATCAGGAGCTGGCTGTAGAGACAGAAAAATGTCACATCTGTGGGACATGAGACTGATTCTATTAACTAACATAACTGTGGTCACATATCAAATTATACATATTGAATGATGTGACAGTTGGAATAGATAGGTCACTGAATTGGCTGTTGGCCTTGTGTGTGTGGCTGAATGCATGCAGGAATCAGCCCGGAGAGGCGTAATGAGGTCTCTGGATAATTTCTTCAAGGCGGCCAGTATATAAGCGTTGATGTGAGTGAGCCCGGGCCGCCGCAGCTGGCTGGGATGAAAGAAGGGAAGAGGGGCTGGGTTGTTGGCTTAGTTCAGGACCCTGTGAGGATTTCCTGTATTGTGACATTTGAGACTCAAGACATGAGAGCTGTAAGCCCAGTCAAAAAAAAAAAGCTAGAACCACCTACTTCGTCTGGGTCCTGTATCTCTCCGCCCTTTAGGCACACTCTGAGCATACTGATAGTAAAGCCCTCCCAAATTGTCGAAGAGAGAAGAAAGCAAGAAGCGCACGTGACAAGAGTGGGAGGGGACGCTGAGGAGCTGTGGGGGCGATAAAGAGTGATTTTAGCCACAGACCCTCCCAGTCAGCTGCAGAGCGGAGATTTACGCAGGCAGGTGGAGCCTACAATTGGCTCTTTGTTGCTGTCAGAGGAATGAACATGTGCGTCTGTCTCTGCCTGCCTCTTCCTGGAGGAGACTACACTCAAACTCTGACGCCAAGCTCATGTCTGTCTCCCTCTTTTTCTTTTTTTTTTTTTTATTATCCTCATGGAAAAACTATAAAACATAGCATGTCTGTGGGCCTCTTCATGGTGTAATGCTCCTCTAATGCCAGATGATGTTGTATCATTCAAATACTTCTGAATGATACAACATGAATTCACATGGCCATCATGCCATGTGTGGGTTGCACAATGGGTGGCACAAAAAGCTCGTAGGCTTTAATGGTGAAATACTTCATTCCAATATTTGTTCTGCATCATTTAGATGAAGTGAAGCGATCTTTCTCCGAAACGGTTGACGCACATCTTGGGTTGTTATTTTCGTTCTAAGTTTTGAACCTTCTTCAGGCTACCAAAGTTAAATGGTTAAAGAAGTCCTGAAGGCTGAGTTAAAAGGCCCAGCAGCTGAATGTTAAATGTACGTCTCAGTTCCTTTTAGAGTTCACTGGGTAATTTGACCAGACAAAATAACCGTTAGGAAACCGAAACAGGTCATTAGAGAGATGATTACACGTTAGCCGTGCGGTGTTCTGCTTGTGCTCAGCTCAGACCAGGCTGCAGGGCCACACTGTTTGTTTCAGTATGAACGTCAAGGCTCAAATCAGAGTTAGGAGGATGGAAACACTAACAGACACTTTAAAAGATCGATAGACGGATAGCTTAGAATAAACATGTTAACTTCTGTCATGAAGGGTTTTTGTCATAACATCACAAATCATTTACACTTGAGACTTGAGCCAAGGCGTTAGTTAGGAACACCAGCACCAGTAAGGTGCACCAGTTGTTCAGTGGTACTGATGTGTAAATGTGGATGCTTATTTTAGCTAGACAAAATGAGGCTTTAATCTGTGCCTGTGGGGAAAAAAAACAGCTAATTCCTCAGTGTCTTACGATACAACATGAAAATGGAACAATGCCTTCTTTGAACACAAGGTAGACGTACTCTAAAGCACTCTGAATAGGATCAACAAAACCATATCATATATATTATCTAATATCTTATTTAAGTAAATACTGTATTAAATAGGATGTCTCTTTCCAATCAATGGGTGCTGTGGAGTGACATAAAGAACCAAAGAGTAGTATTGTATATTTATAAAAGAAAATGGTGGTTGCTTCTCTGGTTACCTCTTTGCCAATGAGACATCGTCTTCAAATAGTTCAATGACGAAAGCCATCGACAACATTTTGCAATCAAAGAGGTACGCTAAACCAGTCTCCTTATTATGAGTCAGGCTAATCTATTTAATCTGAGTGTCATCATAAGGGGGATTTGTAATGAGGGCAGATGAAGCAAAGGTAAAATACAGAAAGTTAGATAACACACACACACACACACATACACAATGATCCGTGCTAAAAAAGAAAGTCTGGATTATGTAACAAAGGTTTGAAGGAGTTTTATTCTTTTCATGTTTACCTTCACTCACTGCCTTTATGTTTTCTTTCTTCTCTGCTGGGACACTAATAAGAGACTTCTAAATCCTTAAATGCCACTTGCTTTGAGTTCTTATTGCACCGCTCCACTTCCTCTCTTATAGGGGATTGGGGGCGGGGGCGGGGGGGGGGGGGGGGTTGGGTTCAATGTCAATACCATGCAATTATATCTGCAGATAAACCCCCACATAGCTCCCCCCCCCTCGTGCATCAAAGCGATGAGCACGTGAATCAACTGCTATTCCTTCTGTTCAGAGGTTACTGGGACAGCACTCTTTACACTTGCAGGCAACTTGAATATGTTTGGCTCACATGTGTTAAAGTGGTAACATTATGTAAGTCTTTATGTAATCTGCATCATGGAAACGTGAATGACATCCTCAAGTCTCTGCCATCAGTGTGTGTGTGTGTGCGTCTGCCAGCTCTGTGCTGACGGCCTGCCAGAAGGCTGCAGTGCACTCCTGAAACACGCTGCAAACATACAGCAAACACATGCCTTCCAACGCAACAATTCAAGTTTCCTTTTTTTTTTTTTTTTTTTTTTAGAAGTGACGTTTAGCAAGAGAAAAATGCATTTTCTTTGTGTCATGCTATAATTCATCAAACTTCCTGTAATTGTTTGGTGAAATAGCGCCATGCTTCTTAAATTCACAAAAGCTTTTTATGGAGAGCGGAAACATGAAGGCCCAGAGGGAGCGTGTGTTAAGAGAAGATAGCCTGGTCCAGGTATTAAACGGCCTGTTAACAGATCATGTTGCTGCCTTTCAGTGGTGTTGCTTACACCTCATTCTATACGACTCTGATATGTATGATCTCCTCTGTAATCTGAGTCCTTTTATGAGACCTAAAGATTATTTAGGTATAAGCACACGAGCCAAACAACATTGCTTGCTTAGGGCTAGTCCTTCTCCAAACAAGCTAATCCCCTCAATGCTGTAGATTATGTCCTGAGGGGTTGATGAGTGACACAGGACAGGTCCCATACATGACACATCTGACTCCAACACGTCACAACTGTTTGCTATCTGTGCTTCAGGTGTCCCAACCTGTTCTCCCTGACCCTGTCCGGCTGTGGACACATCACTGACCAGGATGTGATCTCCACGCTGCGGAGCTGCAGGAAGCTGTGCCGCCTCCACCTGGAGAACTGCGTCCGTATCACCGACTCCGGCCTGGAAGGCGTGGCGGCTCACGGCGCGAGTCTGGAGGAGGTTAAGATCGACTTCTGCAGGAACATCACTCAGGCAGGGCTGCAGGCTGTCAAAAGGAAGAGGCCCGGCATCGAGCTGAGTGCAGAGAGGAGCGCCGGCATGATCCCAGACAGCAAACCTGAGGAGAGGGTGCCGCTCAGGAGGACCCTGCAGAAGGTCCTGCAGTTCTCCTGATGGAAATCCTCTCATGTGGGGGACAACGAGGAGGAGCATTCCTGTAACTGCTGGACTTTAAAGATCTTCACCGTGGTGCTTCATGGAAGTGTCTTTACATCCTCTTTTTATACTTTTTTATAAAACACATGTGGTCTTCCACCTTATGCATACTTACATTGTCAGGCTGTCTCTATTCTAGGCTAAGTTCTTCAGGGACATTTTTTTTTTTTTTTACAAACTTTCAATGAATAAACAGATGGTCTTTCTTTATCTACAGTGATATTAATAACACAACATTATGATCGCGTTCCTGAAGATTTTGGAAAACATTCAAAAACCCAAGAGTCGGACAAGATCATATCATTATCAGTATCAGTACCATTATGTTTCAGTGCAAACATGAAGCTGAAGCCAGAGGCCAGTTAGCTTAGCTTAGCTTAGCTCAAAGACTGGAAACAGGGGCAACAGCTAGCCTGTGCACATTTTACAAAGCTGAACAATTCTAAACTTCTTTTTCATATTGTCAAATATTTATTATAATACTGTAATAATATGCATGAATGTGTATGGGTGTGTGTGGTTGAGTGTATGGGTATGTAGGGAATGTTAAATATTTCTCTTTGGAGACAGCATGTTTTGTTGTTCAGTGTGCTCTGACAAGGAGTGCTTTCTTATCTTTGCGACCCAATCAGCTGTTCTAAAGCTCACTAATCAAGATAGTTTTGTAGTTGTTGTTGTTTTTTTTAATTAATACTCAACATGAAGTGATAAACAAGTCTACTTTTCACAGAAGGTAAAATTGCTAAGAAATAGTCCCCCTTAAATATTGTGCAAATTGTTTTGTAAATATTAAGAAAATGAGACAAACAGATACAATCTACACCTGTTTCCTTTCTTTTATGCTAAGCTATGCTGAGTTGATCCAGATATCGCTCACACCTCTGCCTGAGGACACATTCACACCTACACTATGCGGAAGAACAAACGGTGCCTGATGACACCCTTTGCTCTGTCTGTGTCAGAGTGAGACATGTCAGAGCTGCAGGAAGGGTTCTCAGAGGGCAAGGTGTGCCTGAGCGGGGATTGGATTCATGTTACATAAGACTGAGAGATGTATGAAAGTAGGTTGATTAGGTGAGTGTGTCTGTCTTTAAAGCCCATGTGACATGTGACAAATATACTGCAGGCTGCTGCTGCATGGAGGCAACATCCTGAAACTGCATCGCTGAAGACAGACCATCATTTATGTTTTGTATTTATTCTGCAGTTTAACTTTATGAAGCTTTTTTTTTCTGTGCTACAGATGTGCACTATTCAGAAATATTTCTTTTAACCAAATATTGCAGATTTTCCTCTTTTTCAGTTTCACTTTTAACATCACAAAAAGTTTTTTTATAGACTGTTTTTTTAATTTGTATTTGTTTTCTTTGTATTTGTTTTTTTTACTTTTCACAATTTTCCTTTGCTGTAGGATGGACATTAAACTTTTTTTTAAAAATGAATGCGAGTCATAATTATAACTCAAGTTAGTAAGAAAACAATACTGAAAATATAGAAGAGATTTTATTGTCAAATGTATTTATTTGAGCTTTTACAGATTTATTCAATCCATTATTGCAGATTTTCATAGTGAATTGTTTTTATGTAGGCTACAGGTGATAAATTGCTCTTGACACAATTTATGGTATATCTGAGTATACTGTGATTTGTGATTTTCATACATTTTCTGGAGCCTCAGTAAACAGGTTTGGGCGCTTGGTAACACAATGTGGTTTATATGATTTGAGCCACAGGATCCTTTTTGAAACCTCTATTAGGACCATTAGAACTTTAACCTCCATCAGGCCTCAAATGTACGAGAAGTTATTTCCCAGTGAGACCAAAGATTTTCATACTGACTTGGTAAGAGTCAGGACACATTTAAATTAAGTATTTTTATTTTATTTAACCAGATAAGAAACTTCTTTTTTCCCGAGTGTCCTGGCCATGACAAACAGCAGAAAAATTTACAGTTTCACACAGACAACGAGCAGCTAAACATACATATACAAGAAAATACATAATTAGAAATGAAAAGACACAAATCCATTTATCAGTGAGATCATCTACAGCTTGACGTGTCTGCCTCCAGGTCATTTAATCTTTTTAAAAGCATCCAACGAGAGAAGCTCGTCCCAAGTAGAGGGTGCAGCAAACTTACACACCTTTTTCCCTCAGTTCAGTTCTGACTTTTGGAACAGACAGCAAGAAAAGGTCGACGATTTTAAGTCCCTGTACTCTTCTGACTGATGAAGGTTTAAAGGAAGTAGACCCAAGATAGACTTGTAAATAAGAATACGCCAGTGTGTAAGTCATCCAACACGTTCATACAACAAACAGTGATGAGGGAGGGATTTAAAAGTAGTGATGAACGTCAGTGTCCAGAGCATGTCAGCTTTGTGAGGAGGCATGCTTGTATAAAACATCCCCGTATTATCACATTGTTTGATTTTCTCTGTGGACACATGATATCCCTATAATCCTAACAGCATGTACCAGGCTTACTGAACCTACAATACAGCACATTATAGTGACAAAAGAAAGGCCTGAGGGAGGGTGAGGATAGTACAGCATGTACGGTTTTAATATACAGTAATGTATTGTTTTCCAACAACGAACAAACCTGATAAACAAACTCTGCTATTTCACAGAGAGACAGAGGCTCATTGTTAAGAGACAGACGACACATGCTATACTGTTCACTGTAAAGAAATAAGCCTAAATGGGAAAGTCTTGACAAGATGGGATTTATGTTTTCCAGGTGGGGGGACTCCTCAGGCACATTCGTTTGCCTGCAGCACTCAAAACACAATAACAGGACTGCAGCCATGTAACAGCATGTCTAGATCAAAGCTCTGCTCTTCTGCTCGTCGCCGCCACAGGCAGGGGTTTTGTTAAAGGGAAACCTTGAAAGACCTGTTGCCCAAATGCATGTCCTTGAAAACACTGCTTTTTTTTTGCTGCAAAGCTAAGGCAGCTGAAGCCTTTTTTGTACCTCACAAATGCCAAATATGTGACTCGTCATCAATACAGCTCCTTCAAGCAATTTGAATGACTAAATATGTAATACAGTGGAGTCCAGTCTTCATTCCAGCGGAATCCAGAAAGGAAAAAATAAAGAGTTGTCCTTGTACAACAGGGGAGTTTGTGCTGGAAAAGAATAACTACAATGTGGGATGACCTCCTATTATACTGTGAGAGAGAAACAACTCAAGCCCTTTTTGTGTGATTTGATTTCTTGTGTTGAGCTATTTTTGAACACGCAAGTTTGTGATGAAAACGGCAATCAGACACGAAATAAGCTTCAAATACACTGAATCAACTTCATATGTAAAATTAAGTAAACACAATCAGGTAGGTTGAAAGAAAAGTGCAGCTCATGGATAAGTGTTGCGGTCGGTGCATTTAACCTTCCTAAGTACAGCACATGAGACAGCCTGTACGATGTGAGTCATCAAAGATCGGATGTGGACGCATGCTGCTTTCTCCAGCATTGACTGTAGAGGGGCTCAAACACATTAAAGCCACTCTGCCGGAGGTGAAGCCCACTGAGTTTGAAGGGTAGGGGGGCAAACGATGCCTTCAAACAGACCACACTTTGCAATTATATCCCTCCTTTACGAGAACAGTGGAGCTCTAAGCCAACAGATTTCTGGCTTAGATATCAGTCAAGATAAAACGTTTTATCTTTATTAACCTCCTCAGAAGACACGTTAGGAGAGAAATTCTGATTTGTTTGAGGTGCATGCTGCTGCAGTTGTTGGCGCTGTTGCCTCACAGCCGTCTGTGTGAAGTTTGCATGTTCTCCCCGTGTATGTGTGGGTTCCCTCCGAGTACTATGGCTTCCTCCAACAGGACATGCTCAACTCTATACTGTATGTACTCCAAATTGGTGACTCCATATTGCCTGTAGGTGTGAATGTGAGTGTGGCTGGTTGTCTGTCTCTGTATGTCAGCCCTGTGATTGACTGGTAAACAGTCCAGGGTGTACCCCGCCTCTCGCCCAATGACAGCTTGACTCGATTGCAACCCCAACGGGAAAAAGCAGGATACGGACATTGTCAGTTTTCTCATTTTCATTTTTATATGTAACTGATTCTGAAGTCATTGCATCCAGTTGCCTGCGAATGTGCTTTCAACGTCTTAGCCAAATCTTTGATGGAAGAGGTATTAAGACTGTTTCCTTAAATAAAAGTGACAAATTTAACCTGCAAAGATACATCATTACAAAAGCCATGAGTACAAAATGTGACTCAATAACAAAGTAAATCTTGTCAAAGTATCAACATGTCATGCAATTATTAGATTATTTTAAGCTGATGGAATTAAACAACATTTTCATACTCTAGTTGCTGAGATAAGAGCTGCTATGAACTCTTCTGTGTGCGTTTTGACAAAATAATTTATAGAAAAGTAGGATTTGTTTTTTGTATGTTTTCTTTGGACAATCGTATATATCTACGGTAGTTATTTGTCAGATCAGTACTCACTGGCACACTGCCAGACACGTGAACTAAATGAACTAGATTGTAATTCTGTGTAGCTGACAGAACACACCGGTGGTAAATGGGTTAAGTTATTTTCCATTAGAATAACAAATTTCATTTAAAAATGTCTGCAGAGGAAAACAGCTGACTCTGATTTTCATTAGCCGCTCTGCGATCCACAAGTGGCCTCATGTGGAGAGAGGAGAGTCTATGATGTGAAAGATGAGGCTTTTCATTTAGTTTATAAGACAAGTTACATTTTAATTCTATTTCTAGAAGACATAGTCTTTATTTTAAGAATTCATTTGTAAGTTTAATTTGTTTTTTAAAAGGTTTAATGGCGAATAGCAGCAGGATACAAAAGTAATTTAATTCATAAAAAGAAAATCTGAGAAACGAACATAAGTTACAGACTAGAAACAAAAATACATTTTTTTTCTATTTGTTTTTTAAAATCCTGTCAACCAAAAGCCAGTTTGTTTAAGATCTTCATTTGAAATCTTCCCCCAAATGACTTCTAAGAAAAATTGTTTAAAATGAATTCTAAACTGTTGGAAATGATCCTGTTCAGTTAGTGTGGCTTCCAACAGCTTCACAACATCGACATCTTCATCATTACAAGTCCTGTTTGTTTGTTTCTACAAGAACTTCTAACTTTGTACCACTGAAGAACTGTGCAGCTCATGACATTTACTCTTTTGAAAGAACAGAAAAACATGACGTGATAAGCAAGTCTACATTTCACAGAAAGTAAAATTGCAAAGAAATATTCCCCCTTAAATATTGTGCAAATTGTTTTGTAAATATTAAGAAAATGAGACAAACAGATACAGCCTACACTTGTTTCAGTCTTTTATGCTAAGCTATGCTAAGTTGATTCAAATATCGCTCACACTTCTGACAGAGGACACAATCACAGTAACTTGAGGCAGAACCAGAGATAAATGATTTCAACATCTTCCGTCTGTCCTTCGTAAAATCTACAGCCTACATCACCCATAATGCATCTCGACCACCAACAGCTAGTTCAGAGAACCTGCTCTGGTATGCTGGTAGCTGCTTATGGCGCCTTGAGATTCCCGCCTCAGGCAGCATTAATGAGAAGCGAGCTACAAAAGATCAGGTTGTCCCAATTTCTGCATAAACCAATGCCTCTCTTTTTCTATTTTGTCTTTTATTGTGAAACTTGTAGTCTTCAATTACAATCGATGCAACTTAACAGACTTCATACAACTCTTTCTGGAGCAACAAAAAAACTTTGTATATCTCTTTCCACAGTAGTAGCAGTAATCCCAGGCCTGTAAACAGGGGGTTGGTTTTAAACATCTCCCACTAAGTCAATGGTTCCAATTATCATCGTCATGTCACACTGCAACCCAAACAATGCGGTCTTTCAGGTCTTAGTCATTAACATAAGCCATTAGCAGAGCAGATTCTCCAATAATGTATAGAAGATGCTCTGAGTATGACAGCAGGAAGACAATCCAGCGTGTTATTAAGAATTCATACTGTGCGGCTGTCTTTGTAGAGCTAGTAGACCTTTCCCCCTGTGTGAAATATGAGTCAATAAAGACAGGATGCTGGTGCTAACAGAGGGAGGGGCACACTCAAGCTATTGGGGTAACAAGGGAGGTAGCTATTTGAGCACTGAAACCTGAAAATCAGCAGTTTCCTGACAGCCTTATAAGGTCAGACTTGGGAGGCATTTTCAGTGTCCACCCACTGATAACTCACCCATGGAGGGGGAGGAGAGGGTGTCGAGGGTTCAGCAGAGGAGAGGAAGGAAAAGGAGAAGTAGGAGTACGCTTCTTTGAGTCTTCTTTGTTTTTTTAAGTGCGTCACAGATC